TTCAGAATCACCTCAGCTACTTGCCCCCAATTGAAGTCCTCAAGCGGACATATTCCTCAGTTGATGAAAAGGGCAAGGCCGCTGCAGTTATAGATGAAGGCATTCGTCCATTGGATGGTCAGTTTCGCAAAGCTGCATCTTACTCCACCAATGATGACTCTGCCACTCATGATTTTGCCGCTAATGCTTCAAAGCCAAATCCTCAAGCCACAGCTCCCAGGGTGATGACTGACCGTGAGCTTCTTCTTAGTCTTCACCAGAAGGTGGATCGAAACCACAAATGGGTTAAGCGTCAGTTTGGTTCTATTTTTCACAACATGAATGCTACTCACAATGCAGTGAAGAAAAACCATTACTACCTCCATGAAGTCTTCGGTCGCACCTGGGCTATTCTGTCACATCTATATGGTGAAGAAGATCTGAAGCAAATGGGTCTCAAGGAGGACTTTGCCTGGTCTGAACCACCAGTGAAGAAATTCAAAAAGGTCAAGGTTCCTTCCTTGGTGGCCAGCTCATATTCTTCATCACGCGAAACCGATGAGCATGAAGACATGGACGACACTGCGGCAGGCCCTACAATAACAAACGACCCCAACAACGCTGGCGCTCCTCCATCAACTTGATATTCTTTAGGGGCGTTAGTCCTCATTTTTCGATCCTTTTGGTCATTCGATGACAAAGGGGGAGAAATTTGAGTTAGTCTTCAAGCGGGTCTACTTATATGGGCGTTTTTTTGCTAAGTTACAACTCTCGTTCTTCTGAGACTTTATTCGATCGAGTTGTAAACTTAAACTCTATGGTGGTCTAATACTTTTGCTGAGATTTTCTGCATGCTTATTCCTCATTCATGTTAATGCACGCATGCTGAATTACATCAGTCACCATATTTCATCATGCATTTCAAATTCTTCATATTATATGTTAAATGCATGTATGAATTACAAGATATAGGAGGAGATCTCCATGATTCTACTCTTCAAGTGTGCATTGCTTCAAAAGCAAATTCCTCACTATGCACATCTTCAGGGGGAGTTCTTCTATATCTTGCAATCAAATTCCTCAATATCAGTACTTACACTTCATATGTTTATCCCCATTGAAAAGTTAACCTATATTGTCATCAATCACCAAAAAGGGGGAGATTGTAAGTGCATCTAGTGCCCCTTAGTGATTTTGGTGTATTGAAGACTTATAGGTTAAGGGACCAATGTGTTTATGAGTGTACACAGGTCTATAAGTCTATGAGGATTTTGATATTTACAGAGAAAGTCGACCCCTAAAAATGAATGTCTTCGACTGAAGACTTTGGATTTCTGAAGACTTTGAAAGTGAAGAAATTGGTGTGACCTTGAAGACTTGGTATTCATTCGAGGAACATGAAGCATGAAGACTTATGTTTTCGTAGTTTCATTTTCTCTTTCTTGAGTCATAGGAAACACCGTACTGTTAAAGGGGGTCGAGAAAATACTAAGGAAAAATTTCCACGTGATGCTCAACTCAAAATCCCACACCTACCAATCCCTTCAAGTGAAGCCATTGGAAATCTCATACAGCTCACTCAATTTCTTCAGTGACAGAGACAAAGTTCTTCTGGTCTCTGAGGAATTTGTTCTGACTGAGGAGTTAGGAATTCGCCAGTGCGGATTGCCTACACAATGAGGAACATGATAGCCCTGAGGAATTTGATACTCAAAATTCCGACTGTTGCTGTGCTACGCGCCAGCTGTCCCAAAATATCTACCCACCTAACGGTCATATCATTAAAGGGCATTTATGTCTTATCATGTCGGGATGCTCCCTAGGCTATAAATAGCCGCCCCCTACAACCACTAGCTGGTTGGCTGCTCCGAGAGAAACTGACACTTGTCATTTGAGAGCATCCCATCCTCCGAGGACTTTGAGTGAAAATCATCAAGTGAGGAAACCCAACCCAAACACCTACAAACCCAAAGTGATTGAGCATCACTGGAGAGATTGATCTTGCGTTGATCTGATGCTTGTTACCTTTGAAGACCGTGCTTCTTCCAGATGGTTAGGCATCATGGTCTAGAGCATCCAAGAGGAAATTGTGGATCACCGAGTGATCGAGTTTGTGAAGGTTTGGAAGTCACCTGAAGACTTACCACGAGTGATTGGGTGAGGTCTGTGTGACCTTAGCTCAAGGAGAATGCAGTGAGGACTGTGTGTCCTTAGGTTTAAATACCTAGCCGCTCCGACCAGACGTACAATTGTCACAGCAGTTGGAACTGGTCTACCAAATCATTGTCTTCACCGAGCTTACTAGTTCTATTTCCTCAACTCTTTCATTTCCTCATTTACTGTGTTGTGTGCTTGTTCATATCTATTTGAAGATTTTGACTGAAGACTTTCTCAATTTCCTCAGTTTAATTTCTTCAGTCTGTTTGTCTTCATCCTGTGTTATCCTGTGTTTACGCTTTCTGTACTCTGAGCTTGTCTTCATTTCATCATGATGACCATGCTTATGTTCTATTATGTTTACATCTAAGTACTTATTCCGCTGCAAGTAGTTCTTCGCTTAGGAATTTCCTCACCCTGAAATTCCTCAGTGAAGAATTCATAAAAATCGCCTATTCACCCCTCCTCTAGTCGATATAATGCACTTTCACATCTCCACTACCATCTTCTTTCTTTTGCCCAATGGTGTATTCCTCTTTACGAATTTGTATTATCCTACTAGGACATGCCAATTAATGGAACATTACCCTGTGATTTTTCATGTTGTCTCTATCATTTTTTACAGTTTGGATAATTTTCCTTGTCCTTGTGGCATCAATGATCTATACGATTGGTTTGAATCATATGTGTTGATATGGTGCCATTGCTTGTGCTACTGGGTGGGTGCATATGTACATTATATCAACACTCTAGATTAAGCAATATGTATGATGAAGGTGGGAGGGGAGGTAGAGTGACAAGAAACCACTATACAAACATTGGAACTGTACTATGTGGTATAGAGAGGACCTAAAGAACCTAAAGCCATGGTTGGATTTACCTTGGTAACTTTCAATTGCCAGGTGGGTTGCCCCATGAAGATTCAATCATAAGTGGCGTGTGAGTAAATGGTTCTGCAAAGTGTTGAGTATGTGCCTCTCCCACATATCAATTTGTAACAGTATGTGTATTGGTCATGTTGTCAAAGACAATTGCGTAGGGAAAATGCCACCACCTTATTTACCACTGCCCCTCTTGTTTTCTTTATTCACTTGCAATCATTATTACCTGCATCATTCCTTCTTTAATTTACTTGCACGCTTTACTGTCAGTACCCAACTTATCATTTACTTCCATCTAAGCGCATCTACTACGCTACACGCGGGCGGGTGCCCTAGCTGCCACCTAGGTTCGAATGGTCCCAAATCAGCACAACATGCTGCTTGCAGACCAAAGCTACATCCTGCATATGAGCCAACCTCCTCGTCTAGAAAAGCAGAAAAGAGATGGAAAAAGCAACATGGAAAGAGATGTCTTGCTTCTCCTCTTCTAATCTTGGAAACAAAGGAGTAAGAAATCGAAGAGAGAGATGAAAATGGAACCCACCAAAGATGATAGCTTGGGACCAGTGGGTTGGGCAGGTGCTAGATGAAGCCAGCGCCTCACCGTCTCATGCACTCACGGGGGGCATGGGGCAACACCAAGGTGTTGCCTCCATAACTCATGCTCTAATTAAAAAGAATCTTAGTAAAGTACATGCTAAAAGTGTATAGAAGTTTGTATCATAGGCATATATAGCTCGAGAGAATACGAAGTCTGCTTACTTGCTCCATTGGGGTTCGATACTCATTACTTTCATATCCATAAGTGCTACAATTTGTCCTTGCACTTGAGGGTAATCATGCTCTTTTCTGACACCATTGTCGTCGAGCATATCACTAAGTTGGGACTCTCGTTTGCATTTGTAGCCATCATTTTTAGTGTCTTGTAGCTACTATTTCTACTGCTCCTTGGATTTACATGGATAGCTGGATGTCAAACAGGTATGGACACGGTCAATGGGATTATATAGAAATGAGCATGGATCGGGTGGAGCTCTACCCATCCAAACCCGCCCGATTGCCATCCTAACCAACATAGTTAGCGCAGTCTAATCCATCTGCAAAATTTCATGCGAAAAACCCATTCCCAAAACCGAAATCCTCCAAAAACATGGATATTGCAAGGGTGGCTTCTCAACCATCCCCAAAACTTAAATCCCAATAAAAAATTGTTAGTGTCCTCTTTTTTTTTGCATATATGGCTCTCATTTGAATTTCACTTCAAGAACAAAATATTAATGTTTCGAATGCATACATTTCAACAATATTGGAATATGTCAACTTTTCTATTAAAATTCAAAGTCAATAGTTCAGCAAAAAGCGGCCAAATGAGACTTGATTCATAAATCATGCACCCTCATTGCCACTACGACATCAATTTGGAATTTTAGAAGCCAAGATCTTTTCACGAGTGAGTTTTCAATTCTGAAAGCTAAGATCTCACGAAGACAGAAGATGGGGCAGACACGTCGACAATGAAAACCTCCATCACGACTCGATGCCGGTGGGCAGCATTACCTTTCTTTGTGGGCGCACTGGGGATGCGGGCATGGAAGGGAGAGGTCAGTTTTTTCACAGGAATTGGAGATGCCTTGTAATTCGTAATGACATTTCGGGATGTGGTATTAGAGTTGCCAGTTCCGCCCCCAATTCTGTGAGAATTAATCGACCACGTAAAAAAGAACAGATAATTCCGAGCCCAAACCCCTGGAATCCTGAGAATTGAATCCCTCCTCTTTCTCCGTCTCTCGGACGCTCGGCGGCGGCGGCGGCTCCAGTCCAGGTACCCTCCTTCCTCCCTCGTCTCCGGCAACGGGCAAACCGCTCACCAGCCACCCTCCAAACCATGCCTACGGCTGCTGTCCTAACTGTACCCCGACCCTCCTCCACCACCGCCGTCCACCGCAGCCCACAGCCACTGTGCTTACCTCCGGTGGCCCCAGGATGCGGATCTACTTCGCCTTGCTCGATGCTGGCTGCTTTGTCTCCGGTGTTGAATTTCTCAGAATGATTGAGGTGCTCCTTTGCGCAGGGTAACTGGCGCACGCCACTAGGGACAAATCAAGAAGCCAAACAGCAACACCGTGGAAGGTGCGAGTCATCAGGTATGCTCTATGCTGCAGATCTCATTTTGCTAGCTTAGTAGCTTAACACAAAATCAGTCCAACATTGCCAAGATTCAATGTTGAAGAAAGACGTAATGAGACAGTGATTTGTGACCTATGTTTATCAATTCTGTTTTCATCTTGAGTATCTCCAAAGCTTATAGCCAATCTCTGTCCATGGTTGACACTTCTCCTTGCGTTTCCTGAATCTAGCAAGTGTGATCTTGTGGTCAGATGGATTCAAGCAACGGGAAGAGGAAACACAGGGGTTACCTTATTTGGACAGACAAAATGGACCAGGCTCTCCTTGATGTTCTTGTCGAGCATCACAACAATGGCAATCATACAGCGAATGGATGGAAGCCACATGCATACTCGGCGTTGTGAAAAATGTGCGTGAGAAGTGCAATGTGGAGATCACAAGGGATCACGTGCTGTCGAGATGCAAGACCTTTGACAAGCATTGCAGTACCATCAGCAAGTTGCTCGCCCGTTCTGAGTTTGGATGGGATCGAAACAAGAAAATGATCGTGATTCACGATGAGGATGCTTGGAAAACGTACATTCAGGTGGGGTATACAAATTCGTCCGTATTGTTTCTTACTGGGATACGACGATTCTAGCTTATATATGGTTCACATTTGGTGATTATTTTACAGAAAAACAAAGCAGCTGCGTGCTACAAAAACAAAGTTATCAAGAATTGGGATGCGATAAGTCTAATATTCTCCAGAGATTATGCTACAAGCGAAGATGAGAGTGCAGGCGCTGAGAATGCCCAAGAAATGGCATTGAAGGGTGCTGAAGATGTCCGGGAGCTTATTCAAAATTCACCTTCAGCATCTGAACCTAGCAGTCAAGACCAGGGTGGAACGCCGACATCAATGCAACCCACTCTACAGAGCACGAGGAGGAAGAGGTTCAGAACAGATGATGCACTCTTTTGCATGTCTGGGAATATCAAGAATTCATTTCAGATATCTACGAAGCCAAATGAACCTCGAGAGGAACCAGCGAATGCATCTCCGAAGGAAATCTTTGCGGCACTTCAAGAGATACCAAACTTAGGACGGGGTGATCTGCTGAGGGCCTACTGTATTCTCACTAGCAGCAACCGCAAGTTTGAATCCCTTGTGGCACTTCCCATGGATATGAGGAAGGATTGGTTGATGTTGGAAATTGGCAGGAATTGAAGCTTAGTAGTTATGGCAGATTTATCAGTAGTCTTGTAGTATTAAACTAGCTTTGTCCAAGATATTTGCTACTGCAATGCCTGATGTTTAACTGTCCTACTTCTATCTATGCAAGTACTGAAGTCGCGTGTTTTGGATTCTGCCAAGCTTCCTAATTCAATGTCACTGCTGTATGTAACATTGTCAACACCAAGCGGGTGCATACAACTGTGTGTGCCCCGGTCACACGCTAACGCATGCCCTGAATTGCATAGAGCAAATACAGCGACATTGCATAGAGCAAGTACATGCAGAGAAAAAAGAAAAAGAAACCCACCAATCTAGATATTTCAACAAGTGACTGCATACAGAGCAAAATGAGTGAATCTACACTCTAAAGTATGTCTATATACATCCATATGTGGTAGTCCATTTGAAATCTCTAAAAAGGCAAATATTTAGGAACGGGGGGAGTAGTATGTAAATTTGACACACTGAAACTGGCATCCTTTCATCTTTTAATATTGCCCTACACAAACTCTACAAAAATGTACATCTGAATACAATTTGAAATTGGCCTGGAAATGTAATTCCACGTTACAATTCATCTCTCGGCACTGTACTGCTATCAGAGTTATGGGCCAATATTGGTTCCAAAAATTTCAATATGAATGTCTGAGGTCCCGACAGAGATTTTATGTATCTGCTTCCTATATCAAGTATTCAAGTCCCCCTCTCCTTTTGGTACATAGCCTTCCTTCCGGCGGCTGACCAAGATGTGCCTTTCTTCTCCTAAACAATTACGAAGACAACTGCATATATATCTCAGCTTAAAAAGCAGAGTCTATCTGTCAGGCAGATGGAGCTTCACCTGATGAAGATATAACAATTGAAATGTCAGCAAAAGTAAGATTTGGTATTAACTGCAAATCATCTACAACATAAGGCAAAATGGTAAATGCTGGAATTCAGTACCAACCTTCCATTGCGAGTTTAACAAGATCAACAGAGACATTGTGCTTCCATCAGTGATTAGTGACTTGTATCTAAATTGCCTATGCAACCCTTGTGTGTTTCATATATCTTAAAGCTGAACGCAGCATTGCTCTAGCTTTGCGGTCAGGGGCACATCCTGATGTAATCATTTCTTCGTAGATGACCGGAACCTGTTACATTATTAACAAACCACAAGGTCCACAACTTCAGATCACGGGTTTTCACTGCCAGGGCTTGCAGGTAATATCAAATAAACTAGTTTATTAACCATGATGCTGGTCTACTTATCTAAGAAGAGAAGGTTAGAATAGCATATCACACACAATTTGTTAGAACAATTGTAAGTAGCGCAGCATTGCCAGCATAATGAGCAGATAACATTTCGATCAAAGCTATCTATACCAGCATTGCAGTAAAGAACATTTTGAAGGAGTTTGTGCTTACCTTGTCGAACTGCTCTACACGGATTAGAGCTTTCATTAGTGTTGTGTATGTAATAACGTCAGGCTTAAAATCCTGAAATTTGATGGGCAAAATAAAGAAGTCTTTTCATGAGATTCAATTGCATAGATGACCAGCGGTTTAAGAGAAGTAATATGATGCAGCTCAAGATAACAAAATGAGCGCAAAACATCACTTACATTTTCCTTCATGAATTGAAGCACGGAGAATGCTTCAACAACCCTTCTATCCTCACCAAAGGCGTTAATCAATGAGTTGAGCACTACCGTGCTAGCCTCGAGTCCATCCGCTCTCATGGCCTTGACTACATTTAACGCATGGTCTGCTAAACCCTGGAAATGGTCCATCCATGAATTATGAGAAATAGAATGTTAAGTTGAATGACACATGTGTATTGCCACTGCAACAATCTTATCATATTGTATACCACTAACAAGTCAGGCAAATGAAAACAAAAGATCCAGAACATATAGAACTACAGATTCAAATGCATCATTAGATTATGCAGATTCTTGTTAGTAGAAAAGTGCTGGCTAGTATGAAACAATATTGTTAAGTGTACAATCAGCGACAGTTTTGCATCAACGTTATCAGAGATGGTTAGCTAGGGAACTAAGCAAATTGGCAAGGAACATTCATGGTCAATCATAAGCCATAACAAAAAATCCACACTAAAAACGTTCCATACCCTTTGCGCATATGCATTGACAAGGGCATGGTACATGGTGGGCGATGGCTTCAGTCCGTCAGCTTTCATCGCCTCAATGCAATCAATTGCCTCCTTGTACCTACCAGACCTCCCATACACATCCACAAGTGTAGTGTAGGTGATAATGTTGGGAACCAAGCCCTGTTCCTTCATCTCTGACATCATTGTTTCCACCCCCACCCATCGCTCTTGTTCACCAAGCAAATTGATCATGATGTTATATGTGGTCGTGCCTGGTGGGCAGTTACTTTCACGCATCTCCTTAAACAGCTCCATGGCGCGATCATGCCGCCCTCCCTTACAATGCGCATCAATAAGTGTGTTCCATGTGACAACATCCGGTTCAATCCCTTCTCCTCGCATCCGGTTAAACACATCCATGGCGTGCCCAAGGCAATTGTACTTCCCAAATGTATCTATCATGACATTGTAGAAATGCCGATCCGGCTGCACACCGCTTGCATGCATCTCACGTAGCACCGCAAATGCCTTCTGCCAATCCCCCCTGTCACGGAACCCCGCAAGGATCCGGCTGAACACATACGAGCTCGGTTTAACTCCGTCAGCTTCCATCTCCTTGAGCAGTATCCTTGCACTCTCCCATCTTCCAGCCCTCGTGTACGCGTCCACGAGCAAGCTGTAAGTGGCCTCATCGGGCGCAACCCCGCACTCTGACATTTCATCGAGCACGTGCTCAGCGTTCTTGAGCGACCCAATTTTGACATACCCTTTGAGCAGCGCGTTGTACGCGCGTGTCCTCGGTTTGATTTCCCCGGCAAGGAAGAATTCCAAGAATAGCGCTTCAGCCTCGGGCACGCGACCGGCGATGCCGAGCGCGGAGATGAGCGCGGTGACGGCATTGGAGCGTGGCGTGAGCCCGATGGCCTGCGCGGAGGCGAGGAGCTCGAGCGCTGCGTCCGGGAGCGCGGCCCGCGCGAAGGCGGAGATGAGGTCGGAGAAGAGCGGCGCGTCCGGCTCGAGGCGCGACTCCCTGAGGTCACCGAGGAGGCGCTCGAGGATGGCGGCGTCGGGCGGGTCCCGCGTGTTGAGCAGCGAGGCGAGGAGGTGCGAG